CAACTATAGAAATAAGGGTTAAGGTTAATTTTAGCCCTTGTAATTTTAGTCACGAACCACTTAAAGTCTTATAATTTATTTATATCTAAAATAATTTTTATATTTTAAAAATATAACATATAAGTCTCTCCCATCAAGTCTGATTTAATAGATATTAGAGTCTACTTATATGGATGCTGACTCATAATAAACTATTAATATAATGAGACGTATAATTTAAGTTTAAAAAAAGATTCATTTTAGCTCATGTAGTTTTGGTCATAGATCACTTAATCTCTTATGGTTTTGTTTGTGTTTAAAATGATCCTTACATTTTTAAAATTATAACATATAAGCCTCTCCCGTTAAGTCTAAGTTAACAAATATTAGAGTTTGCTTACGTGACATGCTAACTCATAATAAATCATTAATATAATAGCATGTGTAATTTAAGTTTTTTTTAAAAAAAAGTCTATCTTGTCAAGAAAGAGGAAACGATGAAGGTCATAATGACAAACGAAGGCGAAGAGATAGAGGTCAAAGAGGCCAAATGCAGAGGTAAGGGAGAGCTGGATTATCACGTCGCAGGTGTGATGGGTGGGGGCACAGGAGATGACGAAGTGGGAGGCGATGGGAACAAAGATACTTAAGATGAGGAAGAGGGACCATGAGACCATTGCATTTCTAGTGTCTTACTAGTGGACGCACATCCTTTTGAGGTAGGATTAAAAGCTCTTAAGCTTATCATTAGTGCGAGAGAGGCTACATATGTAACGATACCCTGCTAAGCAACAGCGAATCGGTACTACCATTGGTGGTCGCTTCCATGACGACATCTCATCTCGCCATTAATCATGGTCTTAATTTTTTTAAAAATTAAATTATATATTATTATATTAATAGTTTATTATAAGTTAACATAGCACGTAAGTAGACTCTAATGTCTATTAACTCAAACTTAATAAGAAAGACTTATATGCTATGTTTTTTAAAATGTAAAAATTATTTTAGATACGATCAAAACCATAAAGACTTAAATGGTTCGTGACCAAAATCACAAAAGTTAAAATAGATCCCTTTTTTAAACTTAAATTATATGTATCATTATATTAATAGTTTATTATGAGTCCGAGCCACGCACATCGGCCATCCAACGCCCGAGCCACGCATCTCGGCCAAACAAACGCTCGAGCCATGCCTCAGCGCACCTCGGCCAAAACCAGCGTCCGGGCCACGCACCTCGGCCATCCAATGCCCGAGTCGCATCTCGGCCAAATCCAGCGTCCGAGCCACGCGCCTCGACCAATCCAACCTCGTCACGTAGGTCTCACCTCGCTGGTTTTGACGCTTCGTTTTCGCCTCGATAGGCCCTTACCGTTCAACCAGCAGGGTCAGTCCTACCCGAATCACGGGTTACCGCCCCTCTAAAACGCCCGCCGATGAGTCAATCCAGCCTTGCTACGCAGGTCTCGCCTCGCTGGTTTCGACGCTTCGGTTTCGCCTCGATAGGCTCCTGCCATTCGACCAGTAGGGTCAGTCCTGCCCAGATCACCGGGCACCGCCCCCCTAAATTACACCCGACAAATCAATTTGTTTCTCCCACAAAAATCCCAATGCTATCATATCCCTTAAACCCAGGCATGCCTCTTGGGGGGGGGAGTGATATGACGTATTTTGGCCCTATGTGAACCACTGACAGACACTACAGACCGAAGCGACACCGTACGCCTCCAGAACCGCGGGGTGCACGCCACGTCAAGCTCCAACGATGCGACTGTGTGGCCTGACCACCCCAAGAGCCAGGGGCGGTGTCGTTTGCTGTTAGGGCAGTGCCGTCTGACGCTGCTTAAGCACCCCTGAAGACGCCATCTCGTTAGAGAGGTTGTTCCACCCCTAGAGTCAACGGTCATGCCGGACCAGGGCCCGACCAATTCCCGCACGCAAGTATAAATAACCCCGATGAAGAAAAAAGGAGGAAAAAGATCAATCGATCACTCCACTGACTTGCTCGTCGGAGAGGCCTCATTAGGCGATCCCGACGAGAGCCATTTTTGTAGGAAAACGTGGCCACCTCACGAAGGCGAGTTGCCAACCCCTGGGAATCACCATCCAATGCACAAAGGAGAGCAGCCAATCGACCTAGATCCCGACCAACGCCGACCAGCACCCCTTCACTAGGGCACGACCACCTCACGAAGACGAGCTACCAACCACCCCGGAGAAGGAGAGATGCAGCTCGGCATACACGGCGCCCAGATCGGCACACCAAGGAACACTGATCAGCACCCCGACGCGAGGGCTCGGTCGACCTCGGCATCTAGCTCAGCCGACAGAAGACTCCTGACATCGACCCGTGGACCCGACCGTACTGACTCACGACACATTTGTTAACTAACATAAGCTAATGCCAGTTTCTGGTGGCCAACGTGCCTCGGGCTACGGTAGAACACACAAGCTGGTGAATGCAAGCTAGCTACCAGTTTCTACGTAATGAAGACAAGAAGATATGGCTGTCGACTGTCCTCAAATAATTTGGAACCCAGTTGCAGAGGGTCAGTAGTCATGTACTGTACAAGTGGCTGGCGAAACAACACTAAACAAGTATCAGATCTAGTTTGAGACTCGGGTGATATGACCTCGGGAACGCCTACTGTTCCCTGATTCCTTGTCCATTGTCCCATATTGTGTTTTCATCTACCTTCATGTGGAGTCCACAAATGGATGTTGAAACTTGGGAAGACTCGTGAACCGCGTGCATTCAAAATGCCACATGGTAGATTTTGATTGCATGATAACTAAAATGAAACACATCAGAAAGAAGGATGTGAAGTACAGGACTTTGTTCATTATCCTCAGTTCAACTTCACTTTGATACCGAGAAAAAAGAGTTGAAATCTGAGTAGTTAGCAGTGGTCACTATTAATTTGTTCCGGTTATCATCTCCAAAGTTTAAAGAAGAAAAATCTTAAAACCTTCAGAAATTGACAATGCTAATATTCACATAAGTTAAACATTGAGCCAAATTGAACTATCAAAAGTAAAAGACAACATTCAGAAGTCAAGAGAGCATTGTGATTATGTTTGAGGAAGATGAAGAGGAAGAAGGATATAGCTTACCGACGGTAGCAGATCTGAAGGTGGTCCATCCATCGACCACATTCCTGCTCGCCTTCACCACCGTCTTCCCGATGCCATCGCCCATGAACATTAGGTTCTTCTTGTTCTTCGTCACCTCCACATTCTCAAAATACGCCCCCGCCTTTATATATATCACGAATCTCGTTTTGGTGTTGTTCGGCGCCGCCGCCACCGCGTCGCTTATCGTCGTAAAGTTGCCGCTCCCGTCCTTCGCCACTATCAAGTTCGGGGTCGTCGAGTTCGAAGGCGCTTGCAGCAGCCTCCGGTCTTTCACCGACACCCAATCTGGGAACCCGTCCGCCACCTTCCCGTAGCCGTCCAGTAGTTCGCGCCGCGGCCGTGACGCCCGCCGCCGTTGGATCTTCTTCACCATGGCGAGGGAGTTGCTGACGAGATGGGAGACGTGGTAGAGCCGCCGCTTGATAACCGAGCGGTATCCGCCACCTTTACCGACGTAGGAGAAGCCGTCGAGGCACGTGTACTGGTTGGTGATGGCGGCGGAGAGGACCGTCTGGACATCGTCGACGTGGGCGCTGGCGCCGGATGTGAGGCCGGCGGAGGCGGCGCGCAGCTCGTCGAGAGTCTGCGAGAAGAGATCGAGGCAGTCGCCGATGGCGAGGCGCTGGCGGCCGTCGAGGTTGTAACCGCGTCTGTTGAGGTAGTCGGTGCAGTTCTTGGCGGAGCCGCGGACGGCGGCCTCGGTGGCGTTGATGGTGGCACAGATGACCGCGGGAAGGGACTTGGAGTGCAAATCTGGGAAGACGGAGAGGGTGGAAACGCACAGTTCCGGGTATATCGTGCCGTCACAGTGGTCGACCGCGGCAGCGGCGGCATGAAGGTGAGAATGTACCCGGAGTTTATGGTGGTAAGCCACAGGTTTTGGCGCACTGGGGAACGTTAGCAGGAGGAGGAACAGAGAAGAGAAGACGATGCATGAAAGGAGGAGTTTGCTTCTTTTACTACTACCAGAGCTCATCATCGGAACCCTGAGAGGTAAAGAGAGTGATGGAGCTTAGGAAGTGAAAAGCTGCGAGAATAGGAAGGGATTGGTGGTGATGGATGCGTGTTAATTTGAAGGCAAGAGAGGAAAGTAACGAAAGAGACACTGATCCGCGTAAGTATTAGAGAGAGACACAATAATAATAAGAAAGAAAAAGAAAGAGAAGTACAAAAGCAGAGTGCGTTGACTTATTAGTATTGGATGCGAACTCATGCAAGTCCGGATCGCGAGCTCCTACTCCATAGACTCTAAAAATTGTATGCAACCAAAAAGTCTTCACTAGCTTAAATTAATTATATCATTTCCAATATATATAATTTCATTACAGCAACTTTTGAGGGAGGGAGCAAAATCTACAAGAATCAAGGAAGAGAGTAGCCCTTTATGGCATTTGTTATAGTAAACGAGAGTGATAAGGACAGGGGAGATCGCAAATTAGATCCACAACACCGACAGTCACACGCTTTCATTCGACAGCCGAGTCAAGCGAATGAAGTGGCTGAGCCACCAATTACGGGAAGACCACTTCCACCCAACCATGCAGTGCATGCTAATGGCAAGACTGTCATGCAGAGCACTAAGAGATAATTTAATGTTGCATAATTAATAGATATCAGATTAATGTAATGAAATAAAATTTAGTTAACAAAAAATCGTTTCATAACTCAACCAATTTAATGGATTATAATTGAAGATTAAGAAACCTGATGCTTAGCCAGGGGAAGAGTAAGATGCATATAATTTTTTATTAATCTGTATTTAATATAATAATTATTTTTGATCAATCGTCAATACACCCTTCCTAAATATGACAATGCATCGATTGGGTGTGTTACATCAGCAATGCATTTAATTGAAAATTTTTCTCATTAAGATACTTAATCTTTTGTCACTATTTTTTTTTACTAGCAACAAGTCATTGTAAGTATTTATTGTGATTGTGCAAAACTCTCATACCAATCGTGTACCTTTGGATCACATCTTCTCAAAATGATCTTCTCTCTCTTTGAAATGATAAGATTCATCATATTATTTGGTACTAATTAGAAACCATATGACGCTCTTACCTTCTTTGCTATAAGAGCATCTATTTCAATTTGATAATTTTTTTTTTCCGAAGATAACTTCGAGTTATAAGATTAATTCAAATAGTTAGGATTAGAAAAAACAAAAGTTAAAAATTTAGATTAAAATAAATAGATGAGGGTGAAAAAATTTATTAAGATATAATATATTTTTTTATTATTTAAAAAAAAATTAAATTTTCTCTTTTGATTAATATAAATAGATATTCTTAGATCAATCCAAAGTACTATAAATTGAAAATACTTTTTATTTATTTTATTATTTTGTTTCATCTTCTTTCTAAAATTATGTAGACAAGGCCTGGATTGGTGCAAAGGCTTTGGGTCGACAAACTTTCTTTCTTTGTACTTTACACTGTTGTTGGGTGCACAAAGAAGAGATGAGCAGACATTAACGTAGATTTTCTTCTCGATTTGTGCATGATGGCGACTTTGTATCATTCGTCAACTACTTTCCTACTCCAATCAAACCACGCTAAAACTTACTGGAGTTGATTCTGCGTCCTCTCCTCATCAACTGTTTTCGAGCCTGTATTCCACATGTCCAATGTGATCTGATTTAGAGAGATAAAGAGAGAGAGAGAGTCACTGTTTTCCACTGACAACCTTATGCAATTACTGCAGGACAGATAAACTGTAAATTTACGTTCCCCAATTTGTTTAGAGCTGTTGATTGTGCAACGAGCTGACCGAGAATGGAGCTTTCCACCACCTCTCTATTAATTTTGTTTGATCTAAATTATTAATCAAAATATTTAAATTAAAATTTATATTAGTATATTGATCGTACCTTTATAAGTTAATCTTAATTTTGTTTTCTTTCGATATAGGACTAATCGGGAGTATTATATTTCTTTATCTTAACAAGAACATGGGACTAGGTCAATGTTGACGCACTAACAACGTATGCCGAATTTATTGATTCTTCGTCTCCTCCATTACATCTGCTCATCGGATAGCGGAATACCAACGAAAATTGAGCACAATGGAAATAGGTCATGGACACCCTCAAGTGGGATCCGTCTTTATATTTATATATCATGAATATATAGGTCATGGACACAAATATTACTCGTATGCAATTAAATATCAACAATATCATTATAATTTCTTTGACCAATATGCAACTACATGACATTTCATCGGTGCAAAAATCCCATGTGATTTTGTAGAATGCTATCATAAACTTCCTGTGATACCTATGTAGATAGTTATAGAGAAACCTATATAATCTTAGTTAGATAGTTGAAAAAAATAAATATTATTTTTTTTATGATAAGGGATTATTTGGCCGATCGATTGGTCATTGGTGCGGTCCATAGGCTCGGAGGAATGTACCCAATTTAGGCGATAGACATATCCATATAGTTTTTATTCTTTCGGAGTATGTAAATTCTAAAAGACACCTTTAAAAATAAGGAGGATTTGACAATGATTCTCATGCAACTAAATGATCTTATCAATTTATAATACGTGGTACATAAATGATATTTCTTGTTCATACAAAAATATATTCATTCACTAAAAATTACGGACAAAATAATATATCAATATATTTTTGGCCAAGAGAATAATTGTGGCTCCTTCTGCTGCCTATTGCCAAAAGAATGCTAACTCAAAAATATAGTTTGTGAAGCTTCCAAGGTTGGCAAAAGCATAATTTGGATAGACTATAAATAAATATATAAAGCATATAATTGGACTCCTAATTAGAGTTTAACTTAATGTTGACACATTCTCTCTTAAATTAAACTAAAAGAATATTATTGACATGTTGCATCATTCCTTGGAATCTTTGGAAAACTGAGTGATGCTGTAAAAAATGATCATCCATATATAATAAGCTCCATCGATTTGTACTTTGATCCGCTACAACATTTTTAATTTTAGATTATCACATATTTTAATGTTCTAACGCTAATCTTTCATTGCAAAATCACAGTAATATGCAAAAATCTTGAACATCTTCTTTATGGAAAATATTACCAAACAAATTTACCTGGCTTTATGGATTATCGTGTTCAACAATTAATGTCGATAAAATATTCATCTAAATGATCTTGAACTACAAATAGCTTATCTGGCTTTATATATTCTTCACATTACGAAGTTAAAAAAAAAAAAATCTTTGCTCTTCCAATGAAAATAAACTTCTTCGGTCAACTACGCGATTTTTCATTTCCATTTTCTCGGAAGTAAAATGTTTTATTAGAATGCTGAGTATCAGTGAAAATGATTGAAAAATGGTTAATACAGTAGAGAATTTCTTTTAATCACCTAAAATAGATAGCTAGAAGACCCTATGCCTATTTAACCAACCCAATAATAAAAATAATAAAAAATAAAATTAGCATGTACTTGTTGTATATTGGAAATCCTAAGGGTTGTATGAATCAGATAAAGGTATATCGTCGATCCCATTAAGGGACTTCGATGTTGATGTTCTTGCACATTTCAAGGAGTGTGTGCAATAACAACTGGATTGACTGATATAAAATGTACTAAATATAATCTGACTGGGTGTTACAGACAACTTGGACAGGCAAAGCACAAAGAAAACTGTAATATATTTTTGATTACCAAATATATTTAGGAAAGCCTCCATTATCTGTTTTTTATGGAATGATGCTCATCTATTTAGAAATTATAATGCAGTTCTCATCTAGTTCTAAGAGGTTTCCTAAACTCTACCTTCTTCCCTCCTCCTTTTCCACCAACTTCTCCTTTCTTATCCCTTTTCTCCTTCTACTCTCGTGCCTCCACCTTCGTCTTCTCGCTCTCCTCCTTCTCTACCTCTTCACTTTTCTTCTTATCCTTCGCCATATCCTACTCAGTCTACATATCCTCCTCCGCCTCCTTGCCACCTTCTTCTCTCACTCGTTCAAACAACTTATCCCAATACATATGAATTTCGATACTAAATTTATTATAAAATAAAAAAAAACTTATATAATTCATGTTAAAATTATATTTTATTATGATTGTAAAAGTTTAAGATGCTTTGGTTGAAATTGACCTGTCTATACTCGAAAATGAATTGAATTACACTCATTCACAAAATCTACCAAAAAAATAAAAAAAATGCCAAGAAGAGAAAAAGTTATAAAAATTCATGTTAGAATAATAATCAAGTATAATCATGAAAGATTGAGACCATTTGATGGAAGTTGACATTATTACCCTAAAAAATAAAATAAAATATTCTCGTTTAAACTTCATCCTCATCTTTGAATTTGTAATTATTTATCCAAAATTTATCATAAAATAGAAAAATAATAGATTCTATGATAATATAATGTTCTAATAGAATTATAAAAGTTTAAGATTGTTTGGTCAAAACTAACCTTGTTGTAATAAAAAATAAATAAATTATACTCGTTTATAAAACTTACCCAAAAACATGCAAAATTCGATAATTATCCTAAAATTATTTTTAAAAAACTCAACTAAAATCCTTGTTAGAATCCATTCTATTGGAGTTGTGAAAGTTTTAGATCGTTTAATAGACATTGATCCCATTACTCTCGAAAATAGACTAAAATATACTTGTTTTAAAGACCTATATAATTAATTATCCTAAAATCATAAAACAAATCCTCTAAAAACCTTGTTAAATACATGTTCTAGTACTAGTATAAAAATTTGAGATAATTTTGATAAAAGTTGACCCATTACACTCATAAATAAATTGAAATACCCTTGTATATAAAACATATCCAAAAACATGCGAATTTTGGTACAAAATGATCTTAAATTCATCATAAAATGAAAAAAATAAATGCAATCTTTGTTAGAATCATGTTCAAACACAAAAGCTTGAGATGGTTTGGTAAAAGTTGACTTTGTTAAACTTGAAAATAAATGAAATTATACTCGCTTACTAGGTTTGTAGAGTCCAATGTATTTTAGCTCAAAATCATGTGTATCTGACCCATCTAAGATTATAACACTTCATTTATATTTATATTTATATTTTAACTTTAGAGAATCTTAAAAATATTAATTTTTTTAAAAA